AGACATGAGCCACTTAACAGTAGTAAGGATTTTTATTTTGGGAATTTCGAATCGATCGATATTGAAATAAAACGACTATAATTTTGATTACTTTTCACAGGCTGTATTTTCTTTATTTTGAGTTTAAACTTTTTATATTGAAGCGTAAGTCTCTAGTTATTCTTATTCGTGCAAAATGTATAATAAAACTGTATATGTATTTAATTAATAGCCTATGGATACAGTATGGTTATTTATAGCTATCAGCGCATTTTATTATGCTTAACGGGCCAAACTGTATTCCAATTGAACCAATCCTTCGGCAGAAAGTTGCTCTAGAAAAATTGAGGAGATAAAGAATCAATGAGCCTTTTGCTTGATTCAAAAGTATTTTTTTTTAATATAAAAGAACATAAAACGGCAAATAAAAGCACGTGAAAATTGAACAGGTAAAAAAGTCTAAGTTCAGGCGAAGCGGAACATTAAATACCCGGGCACGTATTAAATACAGTTTTTCACATTTCCGAGAACTACCGTTACATATTAACCAGGAGTGGGTTTACCCCTACTACAAACATCTTTGATAGTATGTATGCATGTTCAGTTATCGAAATATCGAAGTTTCCATATTTTTGAAATTTTAGCCCAATTTCAAAAATTTTCAACGTCCTGCTTTAATTAGTCCAGTACAATAATCATATCGAGTGTGGTAAAAATTGATGGAACGGTTGCCGGGATACACATATGTATGTGGTCGTAAGTGGGTGGTGCCGTTTGATATTTTTTACCAGGACCAACAACTGTGTCAAATTTATAATTTTCCGCCTAAAGATCGTTGTAAATATCAATTTTGAGCAGGGACCAAAAATAACTGTTATCTCGAATTTTCAAATTAAAAACGTTGCCTGAATTCTGAAATTTAACGAAAACGTTGCTTCATAACAGTTAATGGGCCGTATGAATAAAAACTAAGCGATTGCTTTTTCCTAAAATTGTATATATTTTACTCCAATTTTGTTTGAATAAATTGAGTAAAAGGTCTGAAATTTTAAGAAAAAGCAATTGCTTATTTTTATTCATACAGCCTAATAGATGAGAAATATTTTTTCCGTTGCTGATAAGAGTTATTTCCCAACGTTTATTTTTTACGTTGCTCGATAACAGTTATTGCCCAACGTTTATTTTGTACGTTGCTTGATAACAGTTATTGTTCGACGTTTATTTTTACGTTATCTGATAATAGTTACTTCACTCTCTCACTTTTATTTCATCATCTTTATCTTATTCTCCATCTCCATCTTCATCAATAACCTGTTCTTACAACGTTTATCAGACAACGTAAAAAATAAACGTTGTAAAATAACTCTTATCCAGCAACGTAAAAAATAAACGTTGGAAAATAACTCTTATCGGCAACGGAAAAAATATTTCTCCTGCATAACAGTTATCAGGCAACGTAAAAAATAACTCTTATTGACGAAAAAAAAATATTTCTCATCTAATAACTGTTATGGAGCAACGTTTTTGCTATAAAACTTATAACTGTTATGTCCCTGATTTTGAGTACATAAGCTTCAGTATTTACTAAAATATCGCAGTTTTCGTATTTCTGAAAACTACCGTTATAGGGGAGGTAGAGATGGTTATTGTCCGATTTCGCCCAGAAGTACATGTACTAAGTTTCGTTAAGATATTTCAGTTTTTAATGAAGTTATTGCAAGATCTATACATATGTAAACCTTGGAGTTATTGTGTGCACAGATGGATGGACAGGCAGTCACGGCTTAATCAATTTCTCTTTTCATTCTGAGCATTTATGTATACATTTGTCTATATCTGACTTGATATCTTTAGGCTGTTACAAACAACCGTTATACATATGAACAAAGTTGTTGTACTGAATTCTGAATTCCTTCAAGAATATGACAGTTTTCGATGAACCTCTCAAAATACATACATACATACATATGTACTACGTTATGACTTTCAGAACTTCTAACGCATTACAATTAAAAACTCTGAATGTTTTATAAGAAAAGCTAATGAAAAGGGCATTTACTTCAACATAATCAGCTATCTTATACATCTCGTAATCCATACATATCGCTAATTTACTAAAATAGATACCGTCGTAACTTTTGAGGTAATGATGACCGTTATATCCTGCTTTAAATTTTATAAAAATGTCGTGCTAAAACATGGTGTTGTTTTCACATGGGAAGATCATATGAAACTCTATTTCTGGCGATTTTGCTAATGGATGAACATGTCGCACCTTTAATAATGATTTAAAATATTAACTTTTCTTTTGAGATTCTATCGTAATATTATATAGATAGAACAGACAACTCAATATAAAAAAACACGCATTTCGACCTTGTAATCAATTCTCCTGATAACTAAAGGTGCCAAAAATTATGGCAGACTTACCACGATCACAGCACTGAGCGCACCAATGCAGGAACCGGCCAGCACATCAGACCAATGGTGCTTATAATCCGATACTCGACTCAGGGCCGTATACCAGGCAATCATAATAAACAGAAACTGTAAAGAATGACGCAACAACTTAGATCCTTTCCAGTCCATGCGCGATTGTAAGTATAACTATAAAATTTTTAATTCTTTAGTCATTAGAATGATAGCTAAAAAGTATCACCCCAAACTCACCGCAGTATATACCATGGTGTAGAATGTAAAGCTTGAGTGTCCGCTGGGGAATGAGAGATGAACTTCTTTTAACATGCGCTTCGTGGAATCATCGCCTTTGCACGTGAAGTCCTCGATGTATTTTCCCACGTTGTTTGGATCATCACATGTAGTGCCATCGGACAAGATGGGCTGGCAGACCTTCGTAAATAATATTACAAAACCAAATTGAAAATGATTAGCAAATAACAAAGATATGTAAATACATATTAAAATAAATATATTTTATACTTTTACTCTGAACCTTTTATGAACTGGACCGGAAAAAAATCACTCTTAAAAACATGTTTTTCTTCCGGAAAATTTATAACGAAAATTTTTTCCCCAGAAAGTGGCGTACGATTTTAGAAACATGTAATTTTAACAGATCTGCAGAGATGTAAAAGTAATTCAATTTGTGATGCAATTTAATAAAATTTCCGAATAGAAATTTGATTAACTTAGCCAATTCTTGCAAAGTAGTGGAAATTGAGAAAGCAAAATGTGATAGGGAGCTGCAAATTTCTGCTGGAAAATTTTTTTTCCAGCGAAAACTTGCAAGTAAGAAAATCAGCTGATCACAAACACATATTTGTAAATAAACAAAAGAAAATATGGCCTTTTTGAGTTATTTATTGCAAATTTTATTATTAATGCTAGTATGCTTGAGTTGACTTTATTTTTCGTTAATTTGCTGTTAATCTCCAGTTTGATTACTTTAGTGTGTGCTGACTATGGTTTTTCGTTTGTTCCATAATTTTCTTTTAAATATACCAAAATAGATTAAAATGCAGCACGCTGAAATGTTTTTTTGCTGAAGTTTTCGGTTTTGGTAGGTTGCTTGTTGAAATGAAAATTTTATAATATATCTATATCTATTAAATCTTTGTGGATGAATGATGGGTGTTTGGAGGAGATACTCTTGTTTTTGAATGCGTCACCATGTGATATCACAAATAATTATGAGAAAAATAACGTATTCATTCCGATCTAATTAATTTGTATGTATTTTAAAAAGGTTTTTCTTATCCAAAACTATTCAATTGTATAAAATTCCAAACCGGGCGAAAATATACCAAGCAGAAAATAAATTGCCAAATGAACCACCAGTGGAAACTATCGAAGTGATCAGCTGTTTCAAAGGTTGCAAGTTTTTGCAAATTTTGCGGTCTCGTACTTCTGTGCATATCTAGTCTCTTTAAGAGCGAATGCTGCAAATTCTCAGATTTTTCGCTGCTGGATAATTTTGTCCGCTCAATACACACCTATGCATACGTATGTACATACATTAGGATGTATCACCACAAAAAGAAGTGGTTTTCCCACCGGAAAATTTCGCCAAAATATTTTGGAAAATTTAAGATTTACGTGAGTTGGACCCTACTGAAAATACCCCCAAAAATATCGTTATTTTGATTCCGTTGATAAAAATAAAAATAAATGGTATGCAGACTTTTTAAGCTTAATCTAAGGTAATTTTCTAGAAAAATTATTAAAAAAAACTAAATTTATTTATAAAAAACTCGAGTTTTAGAAGTATTTTCAAATGGGTCTAGCTCACATTAGTTTTAATATTTTTCCGGAATATTTCGGCGTAAGTCTTAAAATATAATAAATTTTATAATGCCTATGAAAAAACGGTACCGATTTTTTCTTTTTGTATAGAAAGTGATGCACCTTGTACATATCGCACACCGTCTTCAAAAAAGTCACAACTCAAAATAATACGTGCTATTTCTTAGCACATGATAATCATATGGGCAAGGGCGACTTTACTTTAGGTTTTTTTTTACAAATTATTACAAAAATTTGCTCCAGCTTTTGCTGAAAGGTAAATAAAAGCTCTGTGTACATTTGGCCAAGGGCGACTTTACTTTAGGTTTTTTTTTTTACAAATTATTACAAAAATTTGCTCCAGCTTTTGCTGAAAGGTAAATACAAGCTCTGTGTACATTTTTAACTCATAATCTTAAAATGCCAAATTTTGAGTGTGACTCTTTGGAAAACGGTGTGCGATATGTGAAAAGGTAATTTGGTCTTCTACAGTGAAAGAAATACAGTACGTTTCATTTAGCTGCATCACAAAGAGCCATGTAAATATAACATTAAACAAAAATATACAAAAACCATTTCTCTAAACATGTTTATTCTACTTTATAAAGAAATGGCGAATATTTGCCGATTTTTTCGCAAATTACTCGAAGTTTTGAGGGTATACAAGTGCCGGTGTTGTTATTATTGCACTTAAAATGTGTACGTAAGAGCAGCAAGGTATTTAAAGCGGAGTCTTCTAATGTTGACCTGAAGTTTTTACATACAAAACCTACTGATGAAAAACATATTTCAGCCTCAAAACTTCTAGGCTAAACTGTCAAAAGGTAGCCATAAGCCATTTGAAGACAATGACCCCTATCTCCTCCATTACAAAATATTTGAACTTCTACCAGCACGTCGGACATATTATAAGTTTTTCGATTTGAGGAAGTTTTGAGTAGATTGATGTAAAAAATTATCTAACTTTTCCTTGAAACTCTCTGTTTCGTTTGCATTAGCGATGCTATGACTAAATTCTTTTAAATCTTTAAAAAAAAGGCTCAGACTGCAATTCAAAAGCACAGTTTCATGCGTTTTGTTAATAGCAGTGAAAACAATATATATAAACAAGTTCTTACTATCAATTCGATATGTCAAGTTTTTTGAGGATTTGTTTGCATTAATCCCGGGATTGGCATCCCTATTTAGTACTATGTACGAAAGTATTTAATAAATAAAAGGAATACAGAATCGTAGATTTCGTATATTTTAAAACCACACGTAAATGCCTTCGTACAATATATAAAATTATTGGTATAGAGATTTGATCGGTAATTTACGCATTTGTTTTGTAAAATAAACTAAAATTTTCATAAATTGTACTGAAAACCATACAGACCATATTAATGCAATGGTTGGGAGGGTTTATGCTACCTTAAGAAAATTAAAAGTGTCTGGATTTTATACTCCACTGAGTACAAGGCGTCAGCTTTCCCTACAAATAATAATGCCGCAAATCACATATGCTGAGGTAGTTTACAGCAAGCTTGATAGCAACTCGATGCGCAAGGTTGATATTTTCTTTAATAATGTAACCCGTTATGTGTATGGTCTCACAAGGTTCGAGCATATATCGCCGTGGAAGTGTAGCCTCTTGGGTTGTGAAATATCAGAATATTTGAAAGCCCGAAACTGTGTTTTTCTATATAGACTGATTGCTATGGAATCTCCAGGTTATTATACCCGAGCGCACTTGTGCACAAGGGTATATTAATTTTGTTCACATAACGGTTGTTTGTAACAGCCAAAACGAATCGAGATAGATATAGACAAATGTATACATAAATGATCAGGATGAAAAAAGAAATCGATTAAGCCATGTCTGTCTGTCCGTCCGTCTGTCCGTCTGTCCGTCTGTCCGTCTGTCCGTCTGTCCGTGTACACGATAACTCGAGCAAAAATTGAGATATCTTAACGAAATTTGGTATGTAGGTTTCCCTTAACACAAGGTAGGTTGGTATTGAAAATGGGCGAAATCGGACTTTAACCACGCCCACTTCCCATATAACGATAATTTCCAGAAATACGAAAACTGCGATATTTTAGTAACTACTAAAGATAATTCACTCAAAATTGATATTTATAATAAGTTTTAGACGAAAAATAAGAATATTATAAATTTTTGGAAAATGGGCGTAGCCACGCCCACTTACGGTTATATGTGTATATCTTAATAACCGCTGCACCAATTTCTTCCAAACTTGGCACAGTTGTTGGCCTTCGCACAACATACTAAATGGCCGAAAATTTTTAAAATCGCTTAATAACCACGCCTACTTCCCATATAACGGTAATTTTCAGAAATACGAAAACTGCGATATTTTAGTAACTACTGGAGATTATTCGCTCAAAATTGATATTTACAATAATTTTTCGACGAAAAATAAGAATATTATAAATTTTTGGAAAATGGGCGTAGCCACGCCCACTTATGGTTACATGTGTATATCTTGGTAACCGCTGCACCAATTTCTTCCAAACTTGGCACAGTTGTTGGCCCTGGTACAGCATAAAAAATCGCCGAAACTTTTCAAAATCGGACAATAACCACGCCCACATCCCATATAACGGTAATTTAGAGTAATACAAAATCTTCGATAAATCAGTAAATATTGAAGCTAATTTATTCAAAATTGATACTTGAAACAATTCTTTACCAAGAAATACGTTTATGGTAAAATTTTGGAAAATGGGCATGGCACCGCCCACTTATGATCACATATATGTATATCGGTAACCGTTCTACCAATTTGTACCAAACTCGGTGTGGTTATTGTGCTTGCCACATATAAGCAAAACGTTGAAAATTATTGAAAGCGGACTAAAATAACGGCCGCTTCTCATATAACGGTAAATTTCAGAAATGCTTGAAACTTCAATATTTCGAAATTGAAGGACGCTAATTTACTCAAAATTGATACACCCCGGCTTACCATCTAGCGGAAGGTTTCGGAAAGGTGAAAAAAACATATTTAATACTTGCGCCGGGTATTTAATGTTCGGCTCCGCCCGAACTTAGACTTTCTTACTTGTCTTTTTAATAAGTTAGTATTTACTAGGTCTGCACGGGTAACAGATCTAATTGTCCCTCACTGTAGTACGTTAGTATCAGAGAGATTGTTCTTCGTCAGCGCTATACGTTTGTGGAACTCTATCCCTGCTGGTGTAAGAAGTAGTCTAAGCAGAAGCAACTTTAAGCAATCTATTTACGCACATTTTAAGAAATAATGTTTTGAATGGACTGGCCATCTATCTTTACCTATCAATCTTTATCAACATTCTTAATTTATTTTCTATCTTTTTATGTTTTTATTTCTTATCGTATTCCTTAGTACTCTTAATCTTTATTGTTTAGGGATTATAATTATAATGTTAGTTTATTTATTTGTCCTTGTTTTTATTCTTAAGTTTGCAAATGTATGTACGTATGCTTTTCTCTTTGTTTATATTTAAATCAGCAATTTGTTGTACTATAAAAGATTATATCTTATTGTACTAATGATTATACATTTAAAAAATGAAATGAAATGAAAAAATGAAATGAAAAAAAATACCTTAGGAAACTCCTTTAGTTATATTTACGAATAGTTCGTAAAATCTTTGTTCTAAAAGTTGTACAAATGAAATTTTATTTTCAGTGTGGGCATTTGAGCATCATTTCAGATAAGGACTAGTTTTAGAATGTGGTGAATTGATGTACATATGTATTTTAAAAGTGGTTTTGATGTTACCCAAAAATTATGTATACTTTTTTTAAATTTAATTTTAATCGCTGTCGCACGGGACAATTTTAGTCCATCGTGATATTTTCGTTAAAATTGCTTCTAAACGAATTTTCATGGAAATAAAAAATGAATTTATGTCGAATATACTTTATATTTTGAGTTCTTTGGAAATCTATGACTTATTATGTTTCAACTACATTCTGCAAATGTGAGCAAAATCGGACCATAAATACCGTTTTTCAAAATATCTAGACCCTGGCGCCACCTAGCGAGATAATTTTTCGCACAAAAAATATATGTGACACCCAAATGTACATACATATATACACATATAACCGTCCGCTTGTGCATTTTCAACAATACATACTTTGTTAATGGCTTCAAACCATTATTCACCAAACAGTTACAACATTGTCATTTCCACGCCACATGTGTTACAAATTAATTTTTTTTCTGTCTATCAAAGCTTCCAACCAATACACATTTCATCTCCCCCATTTCTGAAATTGCATTGGAAACATAAAATGCACTGTGTACATACCTACATATGTACATACATATATTGGTTTCTACTCTAAACAATTGCATATGTGTATGCTTCGTTTACATATGTATGTATGGATATGTGCATCAGCGAGTGCTGAACATCCTACATTTTACCATACTCGGTTGACAAACATAACTGTCCCCTGCTCTCCATGACGACTTAAGTACACTAATTGTTTTTAAAATCTTTTAAATTTTTGCTTTCTATGGCAAATGAAAACATAAATACAAACATATGTATGCACCCTTGTCGTCAGCTGATTAAGTAAAGTGACATTTTTTATTTATTTTTTGGCATTTTCTCGACAATTACTTGTATATGGAAAAAATGCCAAGCACCGTCAGCAAAAAAAAATATTAAAATTCAACGCGATGTAGCGTCTTGAAATTTGCACTTTAGCTTACTATAATTTAAAACTGCAGAAATAAAATTTGTGTAAAAAGTCTGAAAAAAAAGCTTAAAATTTTTGGGTGTAATTGAAAAAGTTTATTTTTTTTATTTTTGTACAAAGCTGGAAATGTAGATTTATGTGCTGCTGGTTATGTAAACTGCTGAACTTTTATAAAAAAAAAAAACTACAAACAAAAGAAAAATAGCCAAAACTGGTTGAAATGTCACTTAACTTAATCAGCTGCCCACAAATGTACATATATATGTATGTACCATTTTATGAATTCGTGGTAAAACTTACTGCGAAAAAGTGAGGTCTTAAACGCCCAATCGAGTATTTAGCGATGTCTGTCGTGAGCTGGGACACAGCTGCTCCAAAGCCGAAAATACCAATTTTTTTGTAGCATTCAACCATCCAAGCAGGAACCTCATAGTCCATGAAAATATACCTACGGGTGGGAAAAGCTCCATCTGATGATGTTTTACTACGTTCCGCTCTCACTATCTCGACCGCAAGCGTCTGAAACAATAGGATACATATTTGAGTAAGATTTAGTGCAAAGCCGGCTGAATGAAACGGAACAGAAATAATGCGCAATGTGGAACAATTTTTTTACAAAAAATATAGCTCATTTTATAACAAAAGCCTTATACAAGTTTCAAACTTTGTACAAAAACTAAAAAACAATCAACCAAGTTTCAATAATTTCACTTATTTTATACAGATTTAAAAAAAAAAACCTTTGGGTATGTAGAATTGAATGGGCCATGAAAGTGCATCCTCAAAAAAATTCTAAAAATCCTGTCTAAATAGTTTGGCATTTTGATGAAATTTTGTTGATTTTTTCAAATACGTTTGTATTATAGATACGGTGTATTATAGATACGATCGTACCGATTTTGGCGGGACAGTACCGATTTTAAGAAAGTTGTCCCATTGAATATTTTTTAAAGTCGGGGCGTATTAATGTCCCGATTTTTCAGACTTTCCTTTATCCCGATTTTCAGAGTTTACTTTATTAATTTATAAGAGTCTCCCTGTACTCTGGCCCAAACACAATTTTTCGTACAAATGTGACAGTACTTTCGTTATCGCAAAGGACATAGAATATAAGGGAGCCATAAACATAGCCAGCATCGTTATTTTCTATGATATTTGGTCATGTTTTATTCTGTCAAACTGGTACTCTCGCTATACATATTGCAGGCTTTCATTCTTGTCAATTTTTTTTAAGGATTATATAATTCTTTGTTAAGCTTTTTTTTGAAACTTGAATTTAGTGAGATTATAAAAAATAATACTAATTCCCTAAACAAATCATGGATATATAAATTATAAGCTGTAGGTGCAGTGGCGCAAATATAAACAGGGAAGGGACATTTTAGCATTCTTTGGCTATTCCCCTTTTGATTATTAAATGACGTAACAACATCGTAATTGAAATGGAAAAAGTCGTGACTGATATTTTTTTTTTTCATAAAATGATGTGGGATTTGTAATCCGATGAAATCCATCATATCGATCAAAAAAAGAATTTTGAATTTTTTATTAGTTACGACATTTTGCATTTCAGGTGACGATATGTATATGGTGTGTTTAAACTTTTGCGATCATTTTTAAATTTTTTTTCTTTGTGTTGTTTTGAATAAAACTGTATTAAAGGATGTTATGTCTTTTTATTCTAAAAATAAAATTGTACGTTCGGATACCATGCTTTAGAAATGTCTCGATTTTTGGCCATAGATATGTGGTCCCCGGTAATGAAAGAGCAGGGCGTGTCTAATTATTTTTTTTAATTTTTTTTTAGCAGCTTAGATTTTCGGAAGTGTTTGGCGGAGCTTCTCCTTCAATTTGTAATGTGCGTCTTGGTGGTATTGCACAAATGGAGTGATAGGAACGGCAAATGGACTCTATCAGAAGGTTTTTCAAGGCAGAAATACACTCGGAAGTATGCTATTGTCTACTCAAATTGTATTTTATTTGCATAGACTCTTAGCTAGGAAT